TTGCAGCCATCATTGTTGTTTGGCGGGCCAGGCTGGATTAGAACCCGCCACCTTAGGTGTATGTGGCTGGCGCCTTAGCCACCTGAGCCACAAGCGCCAAGCCACAAGTGATGTTTTGATGTAGGCATACAGTGTGAACTAATAAATCAGGGCAGTTGGAGTATCCATCATCTCAGGCATTTAACGTTTCTCTGTACTAGGAGCATTTCAGTTCTACATTTTTAGTTATTTACAAGTAAATAGCAAATACCTTCTTACTGCTTGTAGCCACTTTGCTGTGCTATCATATATTGCTCATTCTATCTAACTTAACTGTATTTTTGCACCCATTAACCATCCCACTTTATCCTTCCTTCCCTGTTACCCTTCCTGGCCTCTGTTAATCACCCTTCCACTCCCTGTCTCCATGAAATCAAGTGTCTTTACTGTTTAGCTCCTACATGTGAGTTTTGTCTTTGTTTGGCTTGTTTCACTGATGCTCTCCAGTTCCATCCATGTTGTTGTAAATGGCAGAATTTCATTATTATTTATGGCTGTATAATATTCTACTGTGTGTATGCACTACCATTTTTTTCCTTTTCTTTTAAAAACCACATTCTGAAATTTAAGTTAGGGACTGTCCATTATATATGAGGAAAAAAATATTACAGAGTGTTTCTGTTTCCAGGGTTTGTTACTCTTTGATCTGTCTGCCTGGTTGACGTCCCCTGTGTTTAGTTCTCTGAGAACTGGCCTTCAAAAAAATGCAGACTCAGCTTGGTGCCATAGCTCAGCAGCTAGGGTGCCGGCCACATACACCAAGGCCGGTGGGTTCAAACCCAGCCTGGGCCTGCTAAACAACAATGACAACTACAACAAAAAAATAGCCAGGTATTGTGGCAGGTGCCTGTGACCCCAGCTACTCCGGAGGCTGAGGCAAGTGAATCACTTAAGCCCATGAGTTTAAGGTTGCAGTAAGCTGTGACATCACGGCACTCTACTGAGGGCGACATAGTGAGACTCTGTCTCAATAAAAAAAAAAATGCAGACCTAAGAGCAGTGAGGATGGTCTCACCTGCTGTAGTAATTTGAGAAGTAACAGGCAAAAGTGAAAAAGAGGTGGAAATGGATGAGTTGTTGGTCAGGAAAAGCCCAAGGCTTGAACTTAGTTTTTACAGTCTGTAAAAAAACACAGATCCAAGGTGGACAGGAGTGGAGGGCTAGGGGAATGCAGGAAGTACCAACGCCTGAGAGACGTCTATCTGCAGATCTACAGAACCACTCGAGCTTCTCATTCACCTCCGTGTGGCCTGTCAGCTGAAACAAACCCAAGGCAAGACCTCTCTTGCATGCCATCAACCTGGAGACTAATGAATTTTAGAATCAGAAGGTCGGTCCTTGTTACCATTCATGTGAAGCGTGGCGAGGACGCAGACTCCACCTGACAGCACCCCGCCCACCTTAACACTCTGAAGGTAAATGCCTAGCAGGAAGCATGAAAGACCTCCCAATCCAACTTACCTGGACAAAAAAAATAAAGTGCTTGAAAGATGTATTGAGATGCGCTTCCTCCTGCAGCTGAATCACAGGGTCGAAGTGCTGATGATAAATGTGAGCATAAACCCTGAAGAGGCGCTTCAGGATAGTTTTTGCCACAGACATGAAATTCTTCGGAAATGGGACACCTAGTAAAGAGGTAAGAAAAGGCAATGTGAATGTGCCATAAACAACCAACAAATCGCTGTGTTACATGCCCCTTACACCTTTCAGAAGTTCTCAACATATCATGAATGAAAATAAACTTCAAAGCTTCCATGAAATAAGAAGTCGCTTCACTATGCCCTGTGTGTCTCTATCACACTCACTTCACTAAGATGAAACAGGCCCCTAGGACGGCAGTGAAGCTAAAAACTCACTCGGATCCTTGGATTTCTTAACACCACGAAATGCTGGGACAAACATGTGCGGAACACATTAATGCGCCAGCTCTGTTCGGTTTTACGTACACTACCACATATTTAGTGGTTTAAATACCATGAGTTTATTACAATGATTAACTGTACAAACACATAATAATGAGATTTCTTCCCAGGGAGATTACTACATATGTGTATGTGTATACATATATATATATACATATATATATATATAAATTTGTCCCAAAATGAGTTATATTCTCTGCTCAATTAGACTCAATGTTTGTGAATTAAAGCACTTATATAGCATTAAACAAATACAAAATTAGAAAAGTAGAAAATCCCTGTGGAGGAAAAAGAAGAGCTCTTGTACATTAATGGTGGGGAAACAGATTGGTGTAGCCATTTTGGACAACAGAATGAGAGTTCCTAAAAAATTTAAAAATAGAACTACCATATGACCCAGCAATCCTTCTTCTGGGTAAGTATCAAAAGGAAGTGAAATCATCACATCATAAACACACCTGCACGCCCATATTCACTGACGTATTATTCATAGCAGCAAGAGATGGAAACAACCCAGAGGTCCCTCAGCAAACAATGGGTAACGCAGCTGTGCTGTTTTTAACACACACACACACACACACACACACACACACACACACGATGGAATACTATTCAGCCCTTAAAAAGGTGATTCTGTCATTTATAACATGCATAGAGCTGAAGGATGTTATGCTAGGTCAGTGGTTCTCAACCTGTGGGTGGCGACAGGAACTGTATTAAAGGGTCGCTGCATTAGGAAGGTTGAGAACCACTGTGTGAGGTGGAATAAGGCTGACACAAAAAGAAAAATACTGCAGGACCTCATTCACATGTGGAATCTTTTTTAAAAAGTCAAATAGAGAGGCTCGGCACCTGTGGCTCAAGCGGCTAAGGCGCCAGCCACATACACCTAAGGTGGCGGGTTCAAATCCCCCGCCCGGGCCTGCCAAACAAGAATGATGGCTGCAACCAAAAAATGGCCAGGCGTTGTGGCGGGCGCCTGT